AAGGTGACTTTGATTTAATGCTATGATCTCTCCAGTGCTATGTCTGTGCTCTCTTACTTGGGTAATTCTGTAGCTTCCTCCTGTACCTCTGTCTGTCTGTTCATATTTTTTGTCTAGTTCACAGGTTATACTTTTTCCTCTGGTATTTTGCTGCTGCCTTTCCTTCCTTTTCTCCTTTATTCCTCTGCCTCACCCTTTTAATCTGCTTTAGTGCTTTCTTTCTTTACCTCATTATGTCTTTTTGGTTTTGCCTTCTGTCTCTCCATTGGTTCCTTTCTCACTCAACCTCCTGTTGTGTAGGGGCCAACCTACATCCCACCCATCTTGTTGTTTCTCTCTTTTATCTTTCCTCCTTCCCCCCCCCCCTCCTCCTAACCTCCTCTCAACAATAAAAGTTACTCATGGCTTGAGGGGGAAGCATCTGGCCCATGCTGGCTCTCATTCTCCCTCTTTTGTTCTGAATGCTCTTTTGTTATAAATACAACAAACAGAAAAGCACAAAATCAGCTCTCAAGGCAAACACTGCATAATAATCCTCCTTGTCCCTGCTCCTCTTATCTCTGAAGAATTTGCTCTCCGGGCAAAATAAGAAGAAACATGAGAAAGGGTTCGCCAAATTTGGAGGCAAAAGAGAGAGACTAGAAAAAGCTTCATCATATGGGGCAGCAAGTTGGGCAGATTTGACAAATCTGGTAGGGCAAAGTGAAATATAGTTAGCCAGGAGCTTGGACAGCACAGTGATGCCCCCGTGGGTGATCAATCCCTGTTGATCAGTCTCTGTTCCCATTAGGTTGTAGAGGCATGGTCAGGATCAAAATGTTAGTTCGGGGTTTTTTTAGCACCCAATTTTTGGTGCCTTCTCATTTGTGCCTTGAGCCAAGGCCTTGTGTATATGAAATGTGTTTGCCAGAGAACTGTACCTTCTGGACCTCCACTGATGTTCTCAAAAAGCCACAGCAAGGTGATTCTGTGACTTGCCAGCTCCGGTCTCTGAGATAAATCAAAATAAGAACAGGCTTGCCCATTGTTGGGGCTCTTGCTTAATGTTAGATAGGGATTCTCTGACTAAACCAGCTTTCCTCAGAAAATGTAAGCTCCCTGGAAATGAAACGTTAGTTGGCATGCACTAGTTTAGACATGCAAGTGTTCTCAAAGCTAAAAAGAAAAAAGCTTGTTAAGCAGAAGGCAAGCCTTTCCCAATCCCCATAGCTCTGTGGTTAGGATACTGGTGGTTAATGTGGGGCAGACAGCATCAAGTTCTACCTGGGACCGGTTCTGCCTTGCCCTTCCCTTAGCAATCTTACATCTGCCTGTCCACATGCAGTGGGCCTCCATCCTAGCCAGTTAATGCATTTTGCATAATATATGAGTATTATATTCAGGAAAAGTCTGGATGATTAGTTTTACTTGTGTTGTATCAAGCCCTGCTAAGGAGCTGTTAAGGTACTTCCCCCAGAAGTGATCTGTGATGTGGGAGGTAGGTGTGTGTCCTAGGACAGAAACAAAACTGGTATTTAGGAGGAATGCCTATGATGCAAACTTCAAATGTGAATATTTAAGCATCAGCAAATGGGGCAAAACTCACTGAAATGGGTGTTTTTCCCACATTCCTTAGGAAAATTTGGGTTCCAGTGGTGCATTTTGAGCTTGTGTCTCTTTTTTACTACTGTTTACTTTGCCAGTGCTGTAAAATAAAGAAGTACGACCCACTATGTTTTGCATTATGTGTTAGAGATTTAATTTTCAGCTGAACTCTTATTGCTTTTAAATTGGACTGATATGTATTTAATCTATTCTTGAAGTTTGGATTGCTTAGCACTAGCAACAGATTCATGTGGGTTAAGAATAAACAAGGAATGAGGACATTTCAGAAGAATGCAGTCCAAAAATTGCTTCTACAATTTGGATATGCTTAGAGCCTCCACAGATATGGCAACTATTCATACTAACTAGTAAATTAATATTTCCTGAGCTAATGCCAACGTTTGAGACACCTGGGTGATCAGACTCAAGGTAGAGTTTGCTGTGTTTGCAAACAAATGGAAAATAAACTAGGAAAAGGAAAAACAACTGTGAGCCAAGATTAGTCAAAGAGGGTTAGGGAATTAGGCTGGACACAGCTCCTTGCTCCCAGGTGCAACCAGTAGCAAGGCTGACCATGTATTCCCTGTAGGCACGTGCATAAAAACACATGTATGCATCACATATGTACATCTATATACATGGCTACCACACGGATCTACACAGACACACTGTGCATTTACACAAACACAAGCAGCACCAATGGCCTCATGAAGCAAGCAGGATGGAGGTCCAGTAGTGGGAAATATATATATATATATATATCTGTAAATATGCAAATATGGTAAAGTGGATCCTTCCAGGAGCTGGGCTCAGAGAGTCTGACCCCAGATACCAGTCTCCCTGATGCTGGCACGAGGCTGCAGCCCCACTCCTGTTGGTGATGCACACACACAGACACATGCACTCAGGTGTATGCATGGCTGGCCAGGACAAACCTGGTCCCTCTAGTAGCCAACCTGCCATGGCCTTGCCCTTAGAGACAAGCAGACACCAGTGGTTCTCACCCCTATAGACCCCCAGACCCCACAGTCTCTCCAGCAGCTGGCTGGGACTGTCCCGGTCCCTCCGATAGGCAGCTCCTTCCTTACAGGCACCCCAGCTCCCAGGCCGCTTCACTTGGTTGCCAGCTATCTGGTTGGATCTTTATTTGTGCTCATACCCTCATCTGTACAGCCGTGCTTGCTGCACCATGGGCACATGGGCCCCTGTGACCCGGCACTCAGACCTCCATACACCCCACCCCACCCCCAAACAGAGAACACCTCACCAAGGAAAAGAGTTAGAAATAGAAACTAACAGGATTGGGCAAACTGTGCTAATCGAGCGCAGGAAAAGGCTGGACGCTTGTGCTGGCCAGCTAACAGTTTACATGCAACTGTCCCTTTTTCCCCCCTCTTCTCTCCTTTTCTCCTCTTTGTTTCCTCCCCTAAACATCCCATAGTAAATCCTGTGCAATCCCAGAATTCTCTTCCCCTGCATCCTGTAAGGTGTCCGGTGCCCCTGCACGCAGCACCACATCTTCCCCAGCTTTGGCTTTGTGATGAGTTTCACACCTGAACAATAGGGCTGATGGCTTTCCTGGGACGGCACCTGGCCCAGGCAGGGTGTCCCTTCCTCTGAGTCCTTAATCTGGGTTGTCACCTGGCATTGTGTCCCTGTTTTCCTCCGGGTGTGTGAAAATTGGGCCTTTGATGTGCTAATGGCTCTTCTGATGGGCCTGGGAGTAGCTGGGGCAGGGTCTTAGTTGGGCTCCTCTTCTGCTATTGTCTCTCCATCCTCTTTTGTGGGTGTGAAGAGGAGCTTTTGTCACATAGCCTAAGAGGACTGTGCAGGCATCCTGTGCCCTTCTACACAGCTTTTTCTGCTGGAAATAATATTTTAACAACAACACACAAATACCCACGAGGTACTTACCACATAAATATCCCATGAGTATTTATCAACCTCACTTGCCCTTATAAATGCCATAAAATAAAAGGGTATTTGTCAGGGTGAGTGGGGGAAAGCTTTGACCTGTTGATTTCCAGTTATGTGTGGCCAGGTGACCACGCCAAACAAACAGCAGAAGCGAATTTAAAATGTGATTGTTCCAGTTCCTGAGAATCTTATGACAAAAGTGGTGTCTGGTCTCAAGGTGTTTTTTTTCTAACAGTGAAAAAACAGGCTGTCAGGTTTCTCCCCCCGTCCTTGCCCTCATCCCCAGCTCTCAGCTGCTACCATTTGCTGAAGTCGAAGTCCTTGACAGGTTCTTAATTCAGTGAAGACCTCTATTGTTTGACAGCAGTTTTGCCTGAGATTCAAAGCACAGCTCTTCATTATTCTCCTAGAAGAGTTTGGTAATTGTTTGACCTGAAGGATGGACAGTAAATGACTATGGAGCACAGTAGCCTAGTTTGATTTAATCATAGGACAGTTTGGGTTACAAGTGACCTTAAAAATCATCTAGTTCCAATCTCCCTGCCATGGGCAGGGACATCTTCCACTACACCAGGTTGCTCAAAGCTCCATCCAACCTGGCCTTGAACACTTCCAGAGAAGGGGCATCCACAATTCTCTGTGCAATCTGTGCCAGTGCCTCATCACTCTCACAGTAAAGATTTTCTTCTTATTATCTAATCTAAACCTGCCCTCTGTCATTTTAAAGCCATTCCTTCTTGTCCTGTCACTACATGCCCTTGTAAGGAAGGGTGCAAGTCTTAGGCTAAATGCAGCTTTGACTTTGCCCCCGTAGATTCTAGCATCGTAGGAAAAATTTGTCTTTAAAAATAAAAACATGCAACCAACAAAACAAACAAACAAAAAAATTTCCCAAACCCAGCTATCCAGAACTATGCTTCATGCACAGCTCTGGGAGGAGGGATGAGCACCCACAGAGCACAGCGTTAGACTTCAGGTTTCTGCCCGTGATGTTTGTGTGGCTGCCTCTCTGCACCGTCACTGCCGGCCTTGCTGCTTTGGCTTATAGACTGAATAATAAATATCTTTATTTTTAAATACAATAAATAATAAATAAAGATGTCGCTTTGTGCCACGCCGCTGCTTTCGGCGCAAACCAGCGGTATTGTACCAATTAGCTCGTGACATCCAAGGTGTGGTGGTTCCTTGTCCCCGCCGCCCGTGCCTTCTCCCTGCGTCCCTGCGGAGCGGGGAGGGGAGCCGGGGCGCTCCATGGCCACCCCGCCGCCCGGCACGCTCCGCCCGGTGCCACCGCCCGCCCCACTCCATGACCGCCCGGCCGCCCGGCACGCAAGTTCTCGTCAGAGAGTGGTGCGAGCTCGGAGGGGTGTTTCGTGATTTCTTTTTTTTTTTTTTTTTTTTTTTTTTTTCCTCCTTGAAAACAGAAATGACAGGATGCCCGGCAGCCCCTCCCCGCCCCTCCTTCCCACCCTCCCGTGGCGAGCCCATAAATCCGTGCGGGGCGGGCGCGCACCAAGTCTCGGGCGTGGGCGGGTGCGGCGCCGCCTCCTCGCGGGTTCCGTTAGGTGGGGACGGGTGGCCGTTCGCCCGCAGACGTTCTCCGGGAGCTGCCGACCATGGATGACAAAAAGGTGGGATGGGGCGCGCGGGTTCCTTCTCGTCCTCTTTCCCCTTGCCGCTCGGGTGCCCGGGCGCTTCTGCGGAGGGCCGGGGAGTGCGGATGCTGTCGCGACCGACGGGCGGCCGGGGTTGGTTGCCGGCTCGGTGGCCGCCGCCACCGGGTGTCTGTTGGTCTCAGTGAAGATGGATGCGGCGGTGGTGCCGGCAGGGCCGCTGCTTGGTCCCTTCGGAGGGTGGGTCGGAATAAGCCCCTATCTGCGGGAGGGGAGACGGGGCGCGGGGGCGGGCACAATTTGGAACGGGTTGTTGTAGGTCGCAAGATCGATTTGTTTTCATGCGCGTGGTCTGATGATGCACATGATGCTGTCCGGGTTTTAGGGTATTGATCACGAGGTTTGTTTTGCTGGCAGCGCCGCACTCAGTTTGTCTCAGGGTTTAGGATGCTAGAAGGGAGGTTGTTATTAAAGGCATTTTGTTTGGTGGTGGCATGATGTATAAAGGCATTTTTAAATTTCAAGAAGGCGGCGAAGTGTATCTTTCCCTTCTTTCTCCTATGGAGAGCAGGGGACATTTGTCGATATCGTAGTTCATCTGCAGCTGAGAGTGAGGTGCGTAGCAGTGGCGTGAGGTCATGATGTGTGTGTTTGAATGTACCAAGGGAGGCAGCAAATTCCCAGCGGAACCCGGAGCGGGATGCCGGGGGATTATAGTTAGAGGGGAACAGCAGAATCGGGGAAGGACGAGGCCTTGCATCGCCATATTGATGGGAGATGGGGGCAGTGCGAGAGGATGAGGCAGAGAAAAGGGGAGCGCCCGGTCAAGGTCGCTTAGAGAGGCTGCTCCCGCCGGGCTCAACAAGTTGTACAGCTCTGGAGTTCCACTCGGTGACGGAGGGGAGCTGGTGAGGAGCATCTCCTGGATAACGAATGCTGCTGATGCTTGTGGTCGGAGGGAGGGGGGGTGTTGTGAATTCCTTGCTGGCGTACAGACCTCAGCCTTGAGCCTTTAGATAGAGTGGGTGGAGCTGTACTATTTCTGAGCTCCCTGTTTGCCTTTTGGGGAGTGAGGCAGTTGCAACAGTAACAAATGATCCATACAGTAGATCTCGGCCTGGCTCATTGGAGGGTATGGGTCATGCCACGTGATGGCTAGGTGGTAGGAGGCTGGGTAGGAGACAAATAGCAGGCAACAGCCAGGAGAAGGAAGTATGAAGGAGGGCAGAACAACTTATAGCTTATGTATGTGCCATGTAGGTAAAGGGTACCCACAAAGCAAGGTACCGGAAGCAAAAGGCCAGCTGTGGTCATCGCAAGCCATGACAAAGCAGAGTCCTGGGGGAAAGGTGCTCTTGAGATGAAGATGTGGAGAGCTGGGTTTTTTTGTTCGCAGCTTAACTATACCTGCTGACTGGAGATGACCTAACCCTGGGGTCCTAAAAGTGCTTAAAAATTGTAATGCCTTTTCACAGCATCATCCAGATGCTTTGAAAGAGCTGTGTCCTTGTGGTTCTGTGCCAAATTTTCTCGAGATAAAGATGAGGGGAGAAGTCACAGGGTGCCTTGGAGAATGCCTAGACTGCCTAGGGTGTGTTCAGGTGTGAATGCTACCTCGGTGAACATCTGTACCTTGTCCCCTCTGTCTGCATTACTGACCTCGGCAGGAAGAGAACTCAAGCTTGAGACATTTACATGATGTAGGTGGGGGAAGCCATGCCCGAGAGTAATTTCCTCAGTTTCTGTTTACTGGGGCCGAACTGATAGGCGTCTTAGGGTTGTGCAGGCCAGAAGGACATACATACTTGGCTTGAAAGATTGGTGAAGGTGGTATGAGCAGTGGAAGAAGGTTATTATCAAAAACTGGGCAGTTCTGTGAGTCGCTACTGGAGCTGGGCTAGAAAGTGAGTGACTGAAAGAGCTGTGATAGTAGGCCCCACCAAGTACTTATCTCTACTCTGCCAGTATAAGTACAATAATTGGAAAGTCTTGGAAAAGGGACTGTTAATATTTTTGGAAAAGCTTCCAATCCCTCCTGAGATGGAAACACGATCTTTCCAAATTGTGCCAACTCAAGCACTGTTGGCCGAAGCGCCAGCTCCTGAGTCACCTGCTCCCCCACACCTCCCTCACTTGGAGCTGGATTAAATGCCACAAGCTTCAAAACCGAATAAAATGTCAGATGTTTTTCACTGACACATTTCTCAGTATGTGAGACTTCTGAGGGTTGGACCTTCTAGCTTTCTTCATAGCTCTGAGGGCTCAGCAGTTTTTATTTTAATTTAACAGAGATTGACATATGCTGAAATTCCAGGGAGTGTGCTTCATTTAAAATATCAACTATTGCCACAGCTTCAAGAAAAATAAACGGGAAGGTTGGCAGTAACTGTTGCCATCTCTGAGGGAGGCTGCTGTGCCAGGTGCCCTGGGGCAGGGTTGGGAAGCTCTAGCCTGGGAAAAACAAGCCTGTTGCTGAAGAGTGCGTGTTGTAACTGTGACCAGTGACTGCCAGTGTAGCTCATGGGCAGATCTGAGACTCAGTTTATGGGAACTTGTCAGCTGGCACAGGGAAGTTAGACCCTTCTTTCATGACAATCCAGAGATCAGCAAAAGCTTCTGTAAAGCAGATCAACCCAAAATAACAGCTACTAATGCAGCCAGTGTATTCATTACTAATGAGCTGAGAATAGTTGTTAAAGGCCGGGAGATAATAAAGGGGAGGCCCTGACAAGGCCTCCCACTTGTAGTCACAGAACTTTTTCCTTCTGTGCGGTTGCATTTCCCTTTCCAGGGAGGGAGATCCAGGGGATGCTACTGGTAGGTACCTGCCCTTGCTGGATGAAAGGCCATTCCCGGCCCTTGGTGCACTTGCATATGGCACCTATGAGGTGCAGCTGCTGTTCATGCTGAAGAGAAACTCAAGTTGATTAGAAAGTCAAATTAACTAAATGTTTCCTCTCTCCACAGAAAGTCACAGCACCCCTTATCTATGCTGTTTGCATTGCTGCCATTGGCTCTCTTCAGTTTGGGTACAACACTGGTGTCATCAATGCACCTGAGAAGGTGAGAGCAAGAATGGGCTGGGGAGATGGTATGAGTGAGGGGCTGATGGGAAAACAGGTGTACAAAGGAGAGGAACTGTCATCCAAGCTAATAATTTGGTTCTGGTTTATGAAGTCAATAAGACATTTAAAGTCCCCTTTCAAATACAACAATGGACAGGAAGGGCAAACTTTTGGGGAGGAGAAAGAGTACACAGAGAGGTTAATTCTCCTAATTAGGAGCAAGGGGCTGGGGGGGGGGCAGGAGGGCTCCATCTGCCATATGTGGTATGTGGAGGAATGTGAGCAACTTCAATTTTGAGTCAGAATAAACCAACTATGGCAGAAGGAATGTAGCAAGCAGTGTGCAGAAAACAGTGGAGAGTTGGTAAGGATTACAGTTGCCCTAGTTTAGTTTATTTCAGGTTTCTTTATTTTACTTGTTTATTCATTCCTTGTGTTAAGTATAGATTCAGTGCTTGCAAAAGGGTTGTGACTTGGGCACTCTGACCAAATCATCTCATGACTGTAGCCTAAGAAAGGAGAGATGAAGAAAATGAGAGATGTGGTTTTCATGTAACTTTAAGATGGTTCCTCTCTCAAGAACTGAGTCACCAATACCACATCCACCCTGTCTCCGGGAAGAGATGTCACATCACCAGCAGGATGGGGGATGGGGGTTGGTCCTCCCTAGCTAATGTCCTGCTGCCATCTGCTGGGGGCAGACACTCTGTCCCCCCTAGCCCATGCAAAATTTCCCTCATTATCTAGGAGAATGCCTTGGAAATCAGTGTCATGGCCTTGTTGAGTTGTTTTACATAATGCTGCTTTTCAGCCTTACTTCAGTGAAGCGTTGTGTCTCTTTTAACAATGTCCATACTAGAAAGCCCCTCCCTGCTGCCAGTGTTTTGGTATTGCCAGAAATGTCCCCTTCCATTCTCTGTTCACGTTTTCTTGTTCCCTTTCACTCCCAACTGTCTCACACCTCCTCCCAAGAACCACCAGTGACTCACCTAATCCAAAATACTCAGAAGTTAAGCCTGTTTTCCCTAATAAACACTGCTGTCTTGTGTGTATCCCACCTGCCCACCCTCACCCCCCAGTTCAGTGAAGCAATCTCTCCCTCATCATGCTGTTTCCTCTTTCTGCACCCTCATCTTTCCCTTGTATGACTTGTTGCTGCTTGCTGATTTTTTTTTTTTTGAGTGGGGGGGTCTATTGTTTTTATGGCAGCAAGAAAGACAGTAGTCTCCCCTCTCCCCAGTGCAAAGTACCTCCTTCTGGATTGTAACTCTGTCTCCACCTGATCTCTTGCAGATCATCCGAACGTTCTTCAACAAAACCCTGTCAGATAGGAGTGGGAGGGCTGTCTCCCAAGAGCTCCTTACCTCCCTGTGGTCCCTTTCTGTGGCCATCTTCTCAGTAGGAGGTATGATCGGCTCCTTCTCAGTCAGTGTGTTTGTCAACAGATTTGGCAGGTAAGTTGGGATGTGGGATACAATCTGTTAGGGTATTTTTCCCTTCTGCTATGCAGTTTTGGGAGGAAGAGGGCAGAAGTGAGCGGAAGGGAGGAGGAGATGTCTGGGGATGAAGCGAGAATGTGGGCTGCAAAAAGAAAGGAAGGGTTTCTGGTCGAGGCAGGAGCTGAATGGGTATTATTCTGTTCCCACCACTGAGACAGGAGGTGATGGTCAGGTTTATCCCCCTCTCAGTGATTTTCCTGTTGGCAGTTTAAACTCAGTCTTAACATCTTTTCCTGGGCAGGAGGAACTCCATGCTACTGGTGAATGTCTTGGCCTTTGCTGGTGGCCTTCTCATGGCCTTCTCTAAGGCGGCAAAGGCAGTGGAGATGCTGATTATTGGCCGTTTCATTATTGGTGTCTTCTGTGGTCTCTGCACTGGCTTTGTGCCCATGTACATCAGTGAAGTCTCGCCCACCAGTGTCCGTGGAGCTTTTGGCACCCTCAACCAGCTGGGCATTGTTGTGGGCATCCTGGTGGCTCAGGTAGGCATGGCACAACCTGCTCATACCCGTGGGGGAGGGAAAGGAGGGGTGGGGGAGGGTGAGGAGGATTGTACTTGCCATCAGGTGCAGTATGTGGTCCTGTAATACTGGGGTGGGAGTGAGGAACTGAAGTGTTAAAATCACTCTGCTTTCTCTCTAATTCTTGGTGTAGATATTTGGCCTGGAGGGAATCATGGGGACTGAAGCACTTTGGCCACTGCTTCTGGGGTTCACAGTCCTCCCAGCAATCCTGCAGTGCGTGGGTCTTCTTTTCTGCCCTGAGAGCCCCCGTTTCCTATTGATCAACAAGATGGAAGAAGAGAAAGCACAAGCAGGTAAGAACTCATCTCGAAGGGGCAGGGCAGTGTTCTGGCTCCCAGCCTACACTGAGCTTGAGTGGGAGGCCAGGACTGACTCTGGAGCCTGTGGTGGATTAGGGTGTAACTCCTGGAGGGCATCAGGCCTGGCGTACCCTCCCATCCTTTAGGTTGCACCAATGCCAGAAAGCATGAGAAACCTGGCATCCCAGCAGAGGCTCCAGGTGGGATTAAGACTTGAGGAGTGGCATCTGGCCTGGTGGGAAGTAGCAGGATGAGCTGCTGCCACTCCTCCTGAAAGGCAGGAAATAGGATGACATTTAACAAGGAGCTTGGAGGTCTGAGATCAGCTCTGGCAAGAGCATGAACAGAATTTGAGGTCAAATATAAGCTTGGAGATCAATCAACATGAGTAGGGCCTGTGCCTGATTTCCATGTTGATCACAACACCCTGACCTGGGTTGAAAAGATGAGCAAGGCTGCATGTAGAGGCTTGGTCTTTCCCGTGTAACAGGCCCAAACACCAGCTGGCAGGTGTTCCACTCTTCCTGCTGTGCCCTTCCTGAAATAACAGGGCAGGATACAGACACGCACCCATGACCGATAGGTCTGTGTATTATGCCTGACATTTTTTGATTCCTCCCTCCAGTTCTCCAGAAGCTCCGTGGTACACAAGATGTGTCTCAAGACATCCAGGAGATGAAAGAAGAAAGTGCTAAAATGTCCCAAGAAAAAAAAGCCACTGTGCCAGAGCTCTTCCGTTCTCCAAACTATCGTCAAGCCATTATCATTGCCATCATGCTGCAGCTCTCCCAACAGCTCTCAGGCATCAATGCTGTGAGTTATCTTCCTGTACCATCTGCTGGGCCTCCCTTATCTGTGGCTAAACTTGCACTTGCCACTGATGCAGAGAGAACTGTACCTCCAAAAACCACTTTGTGCCTTGACTGGAGGTCACTGTTGTATGATATGGCAAAGATGGCTGAGGTGGAAGGTGGATGTTGTATTGGCTTTCACTTTTCCCACACACACTGTGGCAAGACACTGCAGCCTTGCACCAAGTGAATGAACTGTGACTGGAACTGTGGAGTGCTGCTTAGAAACTCCCTGTTGGGATGTGCAGGCCAATTAGGCAGAGAATGAGGGACATGCTCTCAAACATGGGATCATGACTGTGTCCAACTTTTGCTTCTCTTCCCAGGTATTCTATTATTCAACTGGGATTTTTGAAAGAGCTGGTATCAAACAGCCTGTGTATGCCACCATTGGAGCTGGCGTGGTGAACACGGTCTTCACTGTTGTGTCGGTGAGTGGAAGGAGGCCTGGGCCTCTTTAAGAGATGTGACTAAAGACAAGTAGCCAGTGGCTGTGGGAAAGCGTTGAGCTAGGCAATGACCTGTAGGAGCAAAGACAAGAATTAATCAAAGGCATTTGTGGGAGGAGAGGTGAGCGAAAAGAGGTATTATTTTGCTAGGTGAAAAGAAAGGTGAAAAAGGAGTGCATGGGGGAAAAGTGATGAGAGGAAGCAGCAGCAAGAACCAGAGTGGAAAAACTTGCGCTGAGGATGGAGTAGTCTGGTGACCTGCACTGAGATCACCACTGTCACTGAGGGCTACAGGCAGATGAGAAAAGAGGTGCAGGACACACTGAACAAGGGAGCCTGTCATGCTTTTGCTACCAAAGTAATGGATTTTTCTTCTAACCTTTTTCCAGCTCTTCCTGGTGGAGCGTGCAGGGCGCAGGACCCTCCATTTAGTTGGTTTGGCTGGCATGGCTGTGTGTGCTGCTGTTATGACTATTGCTTTAGCTCTGAAGGTGAGTAAAGAGTGTTCTTATTCATGGTAACCCCAGCAGGGGACCTGTAAGACTTTACATCTGCAGTGCCATCCTGTAGGGCAGGTAGAACTGGGGCTATACATGAGTGTGCAGTAGGGAGCGTGATTTTCTAACTCTGGAAACTGCTACAGTGTTCACAGTGCAACTGAGAAAGTTGTGACACTGGAGTTGGCATTGTGCCGTGCCATGTTTGCCTCAAACTGCAGCTGATTGTATTTTGTTCCCTTGCAGGACATTTTGGAATGGATCAAATATATCAGCATTGTTGCCACTTTTGGCTTTGTGGCTCTTTTTGAGATTGGCCCTGGCCCTATCCCATGGTTCATTGTGGCAGAACTCTTCAGCCAGGGCCCACGGCCTGCAGCCATGGCTGTGGCTGGGTGTTCCAACTGGACCTCCAATTTCTTGGTGGGAATGCTCTTCCCCTATGCAGAGGTAAGTCCTGGTTTATAAAGCACTGTGAGAGCACTGCAGCATTGGAATAGGTGTCTGGAAAGGCTGTAGAATCTCCATCCATGGAGACTTCCAGCACATGACTGTATGACCTTTAATAACCTGACCTCTCCTGGAAGGTGTCACTGCTTTGAGCAGAGGTCTAGTGAATCTTCCGGAGGTCTCTGAGTCAGTCTTAGGATTGTTACTGAAGTGCCGTTGCTCACCTTATATTCTGGTGTCTCAACTGCTTGAAGCTTGCAAATAGTTGAAAGAGCCATCTCGGTTAGCACATCAAGGCTTTCTCTTTAGAAGCCTCAATTTTGGTCACCCCTAGGAACATTAAAGTCTTTCAGAAGCCCACAGGAACTTGATTTTAATTTTAAAAAACATCAATTTTGGGCATTGTTGGAGAAATGTGTTGGAATTTTGACCTGTCAATGGCAAATGACCTTGCATTTAGATTTATTTTCAAATCAAAACCTCTTGCTTTTGTCCTCCCTGCAGAAACTGTGTGGCTCCTATGTCTTCCTCATCTTCCTTGTTTTTCTGGTCATCTTCTTTGTCTTCACATTCTTCAAAGTGCCGGAGACCAAGGGCAGGACTTTTGAAGACATCTCCAGGGGCTTTGAAGGACGAGCAGCATCCAACCCTGCATCCCCTTTAAAGAACCCCATGGTGGAGCTGAACAGCATACAGCCTAACAAAGCCTAAGATTTCTGAAACACCCATTCTTCAACTCTCACATACCTAAAGAGTCATTAAAGGAATGAGCAAAGAAAACCATGAGAACTGGGACATTTTTCCCCTCCTCAATTGCTGCTATTTTCTTCTTTTCACCCACATGCTTGCCCATTGTGCCAGGCTTACCAGCATTAAGTGAATCTGATATGGGTGGTCTGCCATACTGGAAAGCACCTGGCACTTGCAAAAATAATCTCATCTTTCCTGTCAAACACCAGGAGAACAGAGAAGAGCTGGCAATGTTTTTTGCTTTCCTCACATCAAATTGCCATTTGGGGTTGACATACTTATGCACACAGTGACCATTATGTATTTGAATTACTATTTTTGTAGTGAGTTAAAGTGACCCACTAAACAAGTCCCCAGCCCTTTGAGTCTATCTTGTGTGCGTGTGTACAGTGTTACACTGGAATTTAGCAAGCCTACCAAAAAGCCAGGTTGCTTTTTCCTATCCAGTGTGCACTTTTTTTAGCCTCAGGTAAAAGGGGACCAAGTCACATGCATATTTTTCCTGCTCTTTTATTTTTTTTTTGTATAGACAAACTGAAAGCATACTTTTACTTCAGTTTATTTATTTGTATGTCACTTTGTAAATATTTATTTTTTTAATGGTGTACAAAAATGTACAGATAAAGAAATTGAGGAAGTTTAAAAGAAATAGCTATTCTAACAAAAGATGCTGTAGACTTGAGGTGCAATAAGGACTGTAAAGGAGGTATGTGATACATTTTGGATGGTATGTACAACAGAGCCAATTATGCACATTACCTTTAAGTTATTTGTGCCCTCTGGAAAGAAATTCAAAGAATTGTGTACTTGTGAGAAGAGGTATGTTTCTCCACCAAAATCTCTGTTATTAGGGATTTTTTGGTGGCTATTTTAAATAACTGTTCCCAAGTGTTCATTAGGAAGTGATATTGGAGCTTACAATGAGTGTTGTTAGATTATATTTTCAGACATGGTTTTATGTATTCTATGGATGATTGAGGGTGGTGATTGCTAACCAGAAAGTAACTTTTCCTGCCTTGTCTTGATTTTCTTTGTGGCTTTTCTGTTGTATTCTAATAGGTCATAAAGTCTGACATTTGCAGATTGTTACTTAAAGGCGTGCAAGAACAAAAATTATTTTTTGAAGCTATATTTTTCTTAGCAGTTGTTCCTATAAATATTGCAGAGGCATGTAGCATGACCCTTCTGGACAAAGGCATGATCAGTTATGGTACATGTAAGTTCATAAAAGTAGACATGCAGGACTAGAGAACAGAGGTACTGGAAGTTGCTAGTTTAGCAGTATAAAAGGTCTGTAGTGCTCAGTCCCCTGCTTGGTTGCAGGCCTAATGTTTTTGCCCCATGTATCCTCTCTGGAATATCTGCATGATGATGTGGTGCTCACCAGCGTGCTGTGTAGGTGTGTAGAGCTCTATAATAGTGCCTCTGTTAAAAGGGATGTGGCAGACAGTAATTATACATCAGAAAACATCGGTATCCCTACTTGTCATACTGCTGGGCAGTTGAGAGTGTGTGTGCATGCACTCTGGCTAGCACAGTTCAGTTCAGGTAGGCAAAAAGTAGCACGTAGGTTATACTTGCAGTCAAGGGGTGGGAGCTTTTCTTTAGTGGCTGCACTGCTCTGTCAAGAGACTCCAGGCCTGTGCCTGTCCAGGCCTGCACAAGCTGTCTAAAGGTAGTGCAGAGGTAGGTCCAATTTAAACTCCTGCTCTAAGATGAAGTCTGCATCTAGTCTGCAGTTTTGGACTTGATCAAACTCAGGTCTACCTGCTGGAATTCTTAACTGGATTTGCTAGAAGAGAGGCAAGCTCACGGAGTCCAAGTTGGGTAAAAGGAGGAAAAGCTCAGAAAGGTAGGAAGGACAGCAAGACTTTTGTAGCACAGATAGCCCAAGTTTTCTTACCAACATACTGCTTCAGAACAGGTTAGAGAAGTTCCCATTGATGTATATTCTGGGGGGTCTGTCTGACGTTTTCAGTAACTAGTGATGATGTTTCTACCTTCCCTAATATGATACAGTTGCAGAGATCAGTTAAATTTGCTGCTGTGAATTAATTTGAAATACCCCAGCTTCGCACATTGCAGTTGTATTACATCCAATTTTACCTAGCTTTTTATCAGGCTTACATACCAGGTATTTATTCTCAGAAGTACTATATAAGACTTCTTTCCCAACTTTGACATTTTGACTCAGTTACACAGATTTCTGTACCCTTCCTTTGACCCTCCAGCACGTCCAGACATGATATTTCTATATGGGGTATCTGTATGTTAGGAAATTACCCCTATGGCTGTGCATAAGAGCATTCCATACTTCGCATCAGATGTGTGTTGGCTTGGACCGAAATGTGTAGGCCTTTCTCACATGGTATCTCTTTGTTATTTTCTTTTTCTGTAACAGCATTGTGAATATTTTGGATGGATTTTATATGCTTATTAATGTGGTTGTTTCCTGGTTTTGAAATAAAAAATATTAAATAAGTGTCTGATTTGGATTTTGCCTTTACCTTGTAGGTCTTCTGTTTCTTATTCCTTTATCACAGCCTGGGACTTTACCTTGAAATGTCACCAGCATCAACCCTGCAACCTTTTTGGCTAGCTCAGCACTCTTTGCTGTTTTAGTCTAGTGGAAATGGTAATTCCTCTCAGCCTCCATGCAAATCATCTTTAATTCCCTTACTGTTACTCCTTAGGAGTTTTTAAACCAAAAAGATGTGCATCTCTGCTTCCTGTTTACCCAAATCCTTTTGTTTGCCTACAAATACTTTCACAGTGTTTCTCAGTAACAGGGAGAGGGATGTTGTTGGAGGTTATGAATCCTGTCCAGAGATAAAGTACCTGAGATTTCTGCCCCTGCTGTCTTCTTGCTGTGGTCCTCAACTTCTGTGCCAACAGGGTGAAGAAGGGGCCCTTTTTCCTGTAGCTGATGCTTTGCTCCCTCTGTCTGGCAAGTGACCTTTATGTCCTCCTCTGACATCATACCCGTGTGCATTCAGTACTGGGTGTCTGAAAGGAGCAGTGTTGTGAAGAGAAAACCCTACTGCCCACAGAACAAGCCAGTTCCCGAGAGCTGATCCTACAGCTCAGGGACTGTGGTATTCTGTGGCCTATGTGGGGTCTGGACTGCTCTCACCCATGGCTCTCTTGCTTAGGGAGTACTGGCCATCCACCTATTCTCAGGTTCTCCTTTTCCTGCTCTACAGCTATCTAACAAGTCCAAAACGTTAATGCTTTTGTTTTTGGCAGAAACTATAGCAACAGTTCATCAAAAAAATGTGGAAATAAAATATCCTTTAGAGGAGGAGGATGGACTGAAGTTAGAGGAAGGAAAAGATGACAGAACCCAGAGTACCTTAGAGCAGGATTCTGGCTAATATAGCTCCAGAGTCAGCAGGCTGCAAGGAGGAAACAGTAGGGAATAATGTAAAGTCAGAAATGCTCAGCATAACAGAGATCCACTATAGCCTTTCTGAAGCCTGACTGCTTCATGCTCCTGGCTGCTGCATGCTCCTGGCCTGTGTTTTGCTAAGTTTGGTATGCAACCAGCCTTGGAGCTGGGGAGTGCTCTGGGCTAATCTGTCTAGGATTGTTTTTCAGTTCTAGGTGAGCTAAAAAAATAAAGCCCAGCCATCCAAACTCATAAGCATATCTAGCTCAAACTTAACTCTTAGTATTTCGGTTTTCTTTGTCAAAATAGGAAGCAAAGAGCAAATTCACTTGGGGCCAAAGCACGTGATTCACTGAGCTCTAAAATAATGTTTTGTGTAGTTTTCGTGATAAACGAGGCTTTGGTTTAGATCTGGTTATTTCTGAAAATTGTAAGGAAGCTTCAAAAGGAAAACCTGTTTGCAATTAAATGGTTTGAATGTGTGAAAATGGGTTGTTTTCAGTTGGAACTGTTCATCACATCCAAGTGAGCATGTAGGCAGTTCTTGCAGCCTCCACAATCCCCCACAGAAATGAGTCACTGGAGAACCCTTCAAAGAGTGAAACTACTGCTGAGTTGACAAGAGAAGGCTCCCGAAGGTCACAAGTGACATCAGCCACGTCAAACGTTTCAGTGCTGTTTTACAGGCTAGAGCATGATAGAGTGTCACAGCATCACTGACAATATTTGTCACTTTTTGCTTGTGCTATTTGTGATGAGAATATTTGTGTACCAGGCAAAAATAGCAGTTTACTTCTGTGAGAAAAAATGTGGGGGGAGAAAAAAAAAGAACAAAAATCACATTTTATTGGAGGTAGATTTCACTGATGCATGCCCAGTGCACAAATCTTTATATTTGATTTTGTGCTCTAAAAAGAGCACATTTGAGTTCCAGACATTTCAGGAGCTGGGGCTGCTTCTCCCTTGGGAACATATCTGGATGAGGACCCAAGCACAACTGCACTCTTACCTCCAAGCAAAGTTACTAAGCCTTTCTTTGAGGGCTACTCCAAGAAGGAACATTTGCTAGTGTGGTGGGGGACTGTGCCGTCATAGGTTTCATTTGAGAGGAAGGAAGGTGTGGACACACTGCTAATGCCATTATGATGGGCTGTGATGGAGCAGCAACAGGAGATGACTCAGTACAATGTTTTCTCATGCTGTACACATCATGAGAAAGATCCTGACAGCAGGTAAATCAAACACACAGTTTGCTGCGCAGAAAACTTTCATGTCCTTGGCTTTTTTTCAGGCTTTCTATAGACAGGACCAAGGACGCAGTTCTAATGTTTTCTGCACTTTTAGAAGGATTCTTTGAAGACATGAGAGATGCTTACTGGAAAACCTGGGATACATGTCTGTGGTCTGTCCACAGGCTCTGTCCTTACACTGTGAGTTACCAGACAAAGGGCAATTGTCTTCATAGCATGCTGCTGTGAAAGACATCACTCAGGCTGTCTTAGACGAGGAAAGAAAATCTTATTGTTTCCTAAAATATCTATTGCTAAGGCAATTTAATAGGTGTTACTTGAAAGTATGCCATTTCTAGTGGAGACAGGCTGTGTAACTTCTAAAATAATTCACTTGCTGTGATAAATCTTGTTTCTATGCTATATCTCACTAAATTACACTGTTTACAAGAATTGTCTCTTCCTTTTCCATAAGACACAGCTTTAGCATGCCTGATAGACACATGACTGACCTGCTAAGTCTGTTTTCTGCTTGTGTTGTGCAACTGTTTTCTGTTTAGCAAATGGGCACGTGGATTATGTAAGGCAGTCACATTGGTGCACCAGTCACTGTGACATGCAATGTGGGACCATTGCAGATCATGTACTGAACCAGTAACTGGTTACCCATATAGTAACCTGATCAAACAGCACCCGACCTTTCATCTCTGGTCTCCATTTCATCCTGTTTTTTAGTCTTCTCCATTATGAACAAATTTGCCTTCCATCAACAAATTTGCATCTCCATCACAAACAAACTCAGATGTCTATTGCTTCCTTTATATTCCTGTCACCAGCTGCTATTGTCTGCCATATTGTCTGGTTTTCTGCCATATTATCTTGTTTTTAACTTTTTACATTAAATTCTTTGGAGTCTGTACTAGCTTTATTGCACCTTTGCTTTGCTTATTTCTTTCAGAGTGCTCTCTCTGGTATGGATCAAATCTCACAACGACAGTCTTAACCTCATAACTCTTCTTTGAGCCTAGGCTATGATGCAAGTCTATGACCTAAAGAGTCCTCAAGGTTTAGGACAGAGCAACTAGAATAATTTTCCACTG